CAGGAATTCATTGTTGCATCCCAGGCAGAAAATCAGGTTAAAGTAGGACCTTATTTAAAGAGCCATATATATAAGAGCTGAGGTTTGTTCCCCCCTATTTGAAACCAGGTAGGACTGGAGGTAGGACGCTCATCTCAGTTGCAAGAATGAAAAAGAAGCTACAGGAGAATTCACCAGTGGTGGGACAGTGGAGGCTGCTGATGGTTGACAGCATTAAGTGATGGTTGTCAGCATTAACTGAAGCTCTGCTCATCCTGTATCTGTCTAACCTTCAGTAAAGCCGGCAGTTTTAGTTCCCTTAATCCTTCGGTTTTCCCTTTGGCAGCATGGTCCAACCAGGTGGTCTGTGGGACCAAACATAGGTTGCTGCCACTTTCTCCACTACAAATATTTGAAGTAGCTCTTCCCACAGCACATGCAAGCCAGGCAGCTCAGCACCAATGCCAGGGTGAGGTCAGGGCTCACAGGTAGATCCTCAGGGAAGACCTCTAACATGACTGGGGTGGGACAAAGAAATAAGGACCAGGATTTGACTTGCTGCAATCTGTAATGTCCCACAGCAATGAAATCTGCTCCTAGGCATGCATGGGGCACGTGTGGAGAGCTTACTGCAGCAGGACCTTGCATCCACGTTGCAGGTGGGATGCTCAACACAATATCATTTAAAAACACCCTTAGGGACTAATCTGTTGCTACTCTGTCCGTAGGGAAAATACGGTGGGGCTGAACGCAGCCCTTGTCCTGTGAACATGGGCAGCTCCTGCTTTGGAGGCATGTCACATTAGGAAGAGACCCCAAAACTCCTATAGAGCTCTGTGGCTGCAGGTGGGGTGCTCGGTGACCCAGTTGCTATGGGAAGAAAAATGTGCTGGGTAATGCTGGTTGGGAGGCACAAGTGCCTACTGAAGTAAAAGCCTATTTAGTATCAAACAAGATGATGCAGATTTTACTGATGAATCAGAAAACAATCCTATTCTCTTAATCACAGACAGAGATTTATTGCAACTCCGGAGAAATGTCAAAACCAAACAGTAAATAGAAGAAAACCCAGATCTCGAGCCTCAGTGTTCCCTTGGAATGTGACACTGATAAAATAATCTGTCCTTTGAGCAGTGAGCAAAGATGTTGCTTGCATCGGCTCCCTAATGTTGACCAAGGTGAAACATCACATCCCACTAGATACGCCTGCTTTTGTTCAACCTCGCAGCATCCTCATAACAGCAAAGGAGACCGAGGAGAAAGCGTGCACAGGAGAACACAGCCAGCAAACATTTTAACTAACCATGTGGAGGTGGCCCATACCACACCTTGGAAGGAAGGGCTGAACCCAGAATGTCCCCTCCGCTGCCTCTTGCTTGGTCCAAGCTGTTCATTGCACTGTGAACCCTTCCTCCGGCTTTGCAGCCGGGCCAGCGACGACCATTACCTTTATAACAAGCAAAGGTAATCACGTATTCCCAGTTGGAATACAGCGAGTTTATCCCTAACGCAGAAAAGCACTTGCAGACAATACAACAGGCAGGCAGGCAGGCAATGCAGACTTAACGCAGCTGAGAGAAACATTTTTTCATACTGCCAACCAGTTTCTTAAAATTTCACAGTTCACAATAGAGATGGTTTAATAATTATTTCAGTGAGCCAAGAATTCGGCAGGGATGAGTATTACAGCCTGTTAAGGTTTGTGCTTCCTGTGAGTGTTTCTAAGTCTTTGATTCCACTGGAAAATTCCACAAATTTAAATTATTTTACTCCGGAATGAAAATGGGAAACAAATCCAAGTTTGTGACATTTAATAGTGTGACTTTGAGAAAATATTGTGACATTTTTCTATCCTGCCAGCCAGCTCCAAAGTCTATTTTCTATTGCTTCTTCATTTGGTTTATTAGCTTTTTAATATAAAGGTTTTTACCCAGGAGAGAGGATTCAGAGGGGAAAATATCAAGCAGTAGTCACGACTTTGCAATTGTGATGTCCTTTACCATGGGTCCGAAGAGTTTCATTTTAGATTTCAGCTCTGTGGGTTTATTCCGATAAGAAGTTCGAAATCTATTGGTTTATCATTCTTGGCACTACTTGAAAGAACTGCACTTGAAAGAGGAATATGCTGTGAAATACCCTTTAACTAGTCCTTTTTGGGAAGTAATAGTGCAGGAGAGAAAAATGTCTCTGTGAATGAGGGCTGGGAGAAAACACTAGCTTAATGGGAAACATGCAGATGTTTCAGGCAGGTCGTCAGACCCTGAGAAAAACGGAGACTTCTAAGCTCACAGCCCAACACATCTGAAAATGCACATGGATAAAATCTTTCTCTGGACTAATTTTGTTTGTATCTTCTTTAAAAAAAACACAACAAAAGAAGAGACGGTTTGCTGTGGTTTGAGGAGAGCATGGGCACCGGTTGTGGACACCTGATTCTGAAGCTATCTGCTAAAGAGGTCAGGGCTGAAGTATAAAAAGAAAGCAAGAAAACTCAGAAGAACAGAAAAGGCAGAAGTGCACATGGTCCCGAAGGAAACCTCTGGGCTTTCCAGAGGTGCTCGCTGTCAAGTTACTCAAACCACTGCGGCTCCAACAGGCCAGCTTTGAAGATGCCTCCAGTGTAAATCCCTTTGGCTCAGTACTACATCCCGTAGGAGAAAGTACCAAATTCAGTCCTTTCTGCAAAAACATTGGAAGGGAAGACGTCTGTGTAAAAGGACAAGGCTAATCTGTGCTTTAGGACTGGTAGCTGGCCCCTGCTGAAATACAACTAGGAAACGACTTTCCTTCCTCCATTTTCCCTAAGAAAATGTAATATTGCCAAAAACAAATCAGTGACACCACTGGAAAAGAAAAAGTACGTTTCCTGCTAAGAGAAAATTAAAAAAACCCCAACTCTCCCCTCTCCAGCCCCCCGAACACATAATCTTAGCTTCATCACCAACAAACTTGACAGCAGCTTGAACCACAACTAAACATTTCTGACATCCAAATAACTCAAAGCCTGACGGTGATAACCTTCTCCCCTCCTACTCAGGACAACTTAAAAGGTGAATTGGTTTGTGGACATGGTTCTGCCGATCCTCAGTAGCCTGAAATACAGTTTAACTCCATGTGGGTTAGTATCTTCTCGATCAAAGGAACAGGAGCTTGTGCTGCCAGTCAGTGCCTCCAAAGCAGCAAATCTCCTGTGTTTTGGTAAGCTGGTTGTGCTCTACTTGGAACCGTATTTACTACAGCGTAAGACATTTCTTCTTTGTACCTAGAAAAAATACTGAATGAATCATGCGGATCCCTACAGTCCCTTAAGGACATCGGCAACAACTTCATGGCTATCCTGCCAGATGCTTGAACAGACTGAATAAAACCTGCCACCCCGTGCTGCACAGCATCTAATAGCAACAAATGGGATGCCTGAGAAACAAAGGCAGAAACCAGCCCTACTTCTCAAAGCATCTGATGAGAAAAAAACACCACAGCGTGTACACTACAATGCCCAACTTCAACACCTCATTTAAAAAAAAGGGAAAAGATCTCTTATTTCAGCTTGTTTTCTCTCTCTCTCTCTCTTTTTTCTTTTTCTTCTTTCAAAGGAAATTTAGTGCCAGAAAAAGACCTCAAGGTCTCAGCCATTGGGAGAGAGTTGACACATTCAATGCTCCATGACACATTCAATTCACAAGCCCCTGCTCAGGCTGCCAAAGGCACCAATTAGCACCAGTGGTGGAGATTTTATTTATTTAATTTCCACAGAAACCTGTTTAGCAAGACACCGACAGGGGCAAACAGCCTCCCGTATGGCTAGAAACAGCTTTGCTTGACTCACTGTCAAAGATGGCAGCGATGGATTACATGGGGATCAGGCAGCCACGGCTTCACTAAGGCAACCACTTAGAAGTTAGGGATGGGCAAAAAAAGAGCAAACGGTGAGGACTCTCAGACCACTGTACCCATGAATTCCTGCTGACAGTGAACCTGGGCTTCTGGAGGACATTTGTGCACATTGTGGGATTACAACAAATTGCAGAGTTTTCACCACGAAACTTCAAAAAACACCATTCCTCCTATGGGCAAGAGGATTTTTTCAAAGAGCTGTTAGTGACCTCTTGCAACAGGGCTTCTCCTCCCATGTGACTTCTGCTCTACGACCCAAATTAGCTACCTGTGAAACCCTTGCCCCCATCCACCCAGCAGACCAGACACAGCTTTGTTAAGCTGTAAGATATAGCCACATAACATCGCTAGGAGCTCTGTCATGTCATTATTTTTATAATTTTCTCCCAATTCAAACACAGACTAATTACTCAGTGAGAGCTGTTTACATTCCTAATTTTGAACAACTAACAAAAGGAAGCTCTCCTCCACTCGGAGATGTGGCTTACACAATCCTCGCTGGCCTTTAATGGCACTGGGATCTGTGTAAGAGGCTTAATCTCTCAGCCAAGATTTCATGCTTGAATGAATACGGCAACCTCCATCTCGCTTCGGGTGCGAAAAAGTCTCTTAGAGCTCCCTAAACTGAATATACAGTTCCTAGGTTAAAGTTACCAGGAGTTGCATGTGTGCATTAATATGAGAAAATAACCCTTGGATGTGGACAGGAATTAAAACATGTCATTATACAAGATGCTCTGAGGTTTTGATTTGCTTGAA